ACCACTTGCAGTCAAGCAGCGGGACTCCAGGCACTCACTTCCCCAGCTGCTGACGTCAGCTGGCAGCCTGGGCTGTGCTCGCTGCTCCGGACATAGCACCGAGAAAAATGCTGCTCTCCGTACCGCCAAGGGCAGGAATCAACCCATACAACGGCTATAACAGCAGAAACAGCAAAAAGGTAAACGCTTTCGGGTTTTTCCTAAATTTTCAGCTTGTTCGCCCTGCAGGGCAACACGCCCGTGTGTGTCGCGACAAAAACAGGCTTGTGACAGTGAACTGCAGTGTCCTTGAAAAGCGAAACGCACTGAATTTAACTTAAGACTTGGCGGAGTAAAACACCGCCTATAGAGCGGCCGTGCCCCGCACTGGGTCTAGTTGGGGAATTGGCCACCGCTCGGTCCTGTCATGTTGGACGCCCAGTGTTGTATTTCGTAGTATTTGTGTTTGCGTGTGTGTGTGTGTGAGAGTGTGTACTACAGAAAGGATGTCGATATGGCTCAGCTCACTCATTTGACAAAGTCAGTGGTGGAGAGCAACTTTTATGGGTAACTGTACAGAGCTGGGAAGCGCGTCTGAGCCTGGATGTGTTTATGAAAGTGGGGGTAGGGAGAAAGGCAGGCTGTGGGAAACATGTTACCAAATGAATTCTGCGTCTTCCTCCGTGAGCTCCGGACACTCACATCTACTGCTAAATCAAGTCTTCATTGTCTCCGCGGCTGCGTTAGTTTGCGAAGTCCCCCCCCACCCTTCCTCTTTTCCCATTTGAAAGCGGAATATGCCCCACCCCGAAAAAAATCCCACCGGACCATGATGACTTACATTCCCAGAATTATGAATCGCGCTCCCGCGGTTACATTCACAGTTGACATTGTCACTTTTGTAGCCGCTCTGTGAGAGAAGGGCACGCTCATGCCAACGCACTAAACAGTGTGTAGAAAAACTAACAACGTGCCAACATTAAAATAATGCTTTTAAATGCTAAAATATCGTGGTTACTTGTGACAGACTCGAGTTTTCAGTAACTTTTTTGCTTCCTAAAGTCCATTTTCATTTAGTCAGGCAAAGGTTGCTCATATCACGTGTCTTCTCTCTGTGGGCTTTAATGAATGTCGTTATAGGATGAGGTATTATTCTGTTATTTCACGTCCACAGACGCACAGTTCTTTCTGCTCTGCACAGCGTTTTGAGATGTATATTGACATACTGCCTTTCTGTGATCCTGGGCACAGTCTGGCTGCGCATCCTCCCCAGATCTGATGTCAACACTCGCTCTTCTAGACGGAAACAGCATTATCATTGCATTTTAATGAACTGGCATTGGATTTTTCTGCATATACATCATTACTTGGGCTATTACTAAGTAGGACCTCATTTCGTTGCTATGAGGAGATGATTTCACAGGCAATTCCTTCCATAACCTATCAAAGCAAAGCATTTTTAGCTCACCAGGGACTAATCATAAAACCTCTTAGATGTCACTTTTTAAAAGGAAGTATGAGCAATCAAGTGTATGGGTGTCAGCACTTGCAGTTCCATTCTTTTAATTAGGTCATTCTCTGACAATGTGTTTGGTGTGCTTTATGTGTAATACAATATGCCTTATGTAAAGAGAAATTTTCAATATATACATCAGTGTAGGCAGCATTGAAAAAAACCTTAGAAAAAAATCAACTGGACTTAGATTTCTAGATCGAAGACGTTTCACCTCTCATCCAAGAGGCTTCATCAGTTCTGACTGACTGGTGTTGAGCCGGAGATATTTATGATGAAGCCTCTTGGATGAGAGGTGAAACATCTTTGATCTAGAAATCTATTCCAGTTGATTTTTCAGTTTACTATGACCTGGATGACTGAGAATCTGCACAGACATGTAGGCAGCATTGTTACTACAAGCCTGTCTATGTTTACAGTTGATTCTACATGGCAAGAATGTGCTTAGGGCTTAAATCATTATTCAATCAGTTGATTAGTAGATCAGAAGAAAAAAAAACCAGCCACTGTTTTGATAAATTTATTAAGTTTTCAAGCAAAAAGTGCTGTTTCTTGTCATATTTAATTGTAAAATCTTTGGGTTCTAGACTTTAGGTTGAATGAAATTTGAACAAGATATGATATGTGAGCAAGTTACCAAGGACTCTGGGAAACTGATTTTTCATAGTTTAAGGAATTAACTGAAAAAAAAAAACTAAAATAATTAGCATATTAACTGATAATAAAAATAATCACTATTTGCAGCCCTGTAAGTGTGTTGAATTCCAGTTATTAGTATTTTAGGGATAAATCGGTTATTTTAATGGTCTCAGACTCATCTGTTGTGTGGAGATTAAGCTTCACACAGAGGTCAAATTCGTGTGTTGTGATTCCTAACATTTCCTCCTCCCACCTCCCTCTGCCTTTCATTTCTTGCTTATGTTCTGCCATACCTTAGCTGAATGAGTGCCTCGAAGTCTGAATGCAAAATCAACATGTTGAGGGGTGAGAGAAGCGCAGCTTTCAGAGGTGATTATTGAGCATGATGGCTAAAACACGTTTGGTTTCTGTTCTTAAAGCCAACTGCTCCTCCCCTGACTCAGCACCTCATTTCCTCCCTCAAATAAATAGATTTAATGTTCTCAAATCAAATTTGGTTGGTTTCCATGTAAAGCTTCCTGGATGGAAAAATAACAGGAGGCGGCTTGTCGCTTCTCACGGCATTATGCTTCTCGCTCAGGGCCTCATCGAACGCTCGTTTTTGCACTTGTCAATCAGATTTTTGTTCCTATTTGGTGGCAGTTCTTTTCAGCAAAGTTACTGCTGCGATTTAAACCTCTTACACATCAAAACACAACTATGAAAAGAGGAGCATTACATTGTCGTATGGATGAAAAGGCCATTCATACATGGCATCAACAGAAGAGAACTCTCTCCCAAGCATCTTTAAATCAGAGGTTTCATCCTTTCAGTTTCACCTCCACAAGCTTTCAGGTGTCACTGGTGTTTCCTAATTGTTGGCCTATGTGAACCCCATGCTCCTTTTCAAGCACATTAGCTTGAGTTTTGTGAGTTACTCCTTGATGACACTCATGACAGAAGTAGACTTTAGAATCCAGGACAAAAGAAGTTTGTTTAAAAAGCTCAAACACTTTCACACAATCAAATAAAACATTTAAGAAAGAGTTACTTTACTTTGTAACATATAATCATATGGCTATGGCGTTATTTGGTTTTATTTATATGTAGCTTGAGGAAGAGTTTTGCAATGTAAACATGAAGTGAGTTTTGAATCCATTTGAATTACTAGTTAGAACTCTCCTGTTCCCGAAGACGGATCACTATGATCATTATGAATAATTGTGATTTCTGTATCGAGCAGTTGCAAAGTAAATATGATTTTAGTCTAAACTGCATTGACCTGGATGTGAGAGAGTGAACAGTCTATCAGGATTTGAATTTAGAGAGCAACCTCAAGAGTGGAAAGTGTGTAAGCAATTCTGTGACATTCATTGATGTTCATGACATAGATATTCAATATTTAATACTGAATTATAACAGAATATAACAATGCTGGATTGCCAGTGGTCACCAAAACAATAATAAGTGGGTGGGTATTAAATGACAATGCTTGTTGCTATGCTTAATGCTGGATGAGTTTGTAAACACTGACCAATACAGTACAGTGTACAGACTGTGGATACCCCAACCGAGCCCGACAGGACCTGCCGGGGCCTAAGGGTGGTTCGGACACTTAAGTGGGACTTTAGACTAAACAGCTGGAGCACTCAAATGTCTGCTCCCTTTAATGATAAGGGGAAAAACAGTGTACAAATTAATCTGTTGTGGGCTTGGACCGGGTATTGACATTATATATTATAAACCGGTTGGGTCCAGGTCGGGGTTGGATACTACACTCTCAGGCATGGGTTGGGTTTGGACAGAAATATGCGGCCTGATCCATGCTCTAACAGTGTATAGTAACTAAAACGTTGCTTAAATGTGATGTCACTGGTAGAAGATCTATAATACATTTGCATATTTAAAAATATTGGTACAGAAAATCCCTGGAGCAACAATATTTTTCTCAGTAACTGCATGACCTGTATTAAGAGTATGCAAATTGTTATTTTATATCAGCATTTTAACCTGATTAGCATCCCATTTCACCTCATTATTAAAATATTAGGTAACATTATGTGCTACCACGTTTTTATGTACAACATGTCAAAATATACTTGGAACTTGGCTGCTAAGATTTGACGAAGCGTGCATTTTTCTGTTTTGCCTCTATGTACTAACGGGTGTGCTTCTGATGTAGTTCTACAGAATAATGCTTACGTGAGAATTCTAGTCAGCTACTTTCTAATCTCAAAACTCATCAGTTGTGCCAAATGTCAGATGTCAAATGTCCTTGAATGCACCATAGGGATTTTGTTCAGTCTCTTAGGTGTGTCTGGTTTATAGCCTGCAGCAGTAGTGTGACTGTACAAAAAGGTAAACTACATGGTTGATTACTGTACCTATAGTATGTCAAACAGATTTCAAGTCTGTGCAAGAATCTTTTGTTGTCACGATGACATGAACTGAAGCTAAACAACGTCTGCAGAGGAGGTAGAAAAGCTTATGTTATACTTAGTAAAAGGCAGCAGTGATGTAAATTACACATGGTAAATAGGCATAAAGTTTAAAAAACACAGAAATTTGACACTTGAATTTGGAGCAAAGTGCCCAAAATTTGACTTCACCCATTCATTACACTTCATTTACATTCCTTCTAAAACATGTATTTTAAAGGTTAAAGTAATGTGTGGTGTTGTAATAATGTATCTGCCTCAAAAATCCAGTATCAACTGGGCAACACTTTCCTGTATTCTTGGAGGCTGTAACAGTGGCAGAGCCAGAAATCATAGTATGGGTGGGCCTCGTCCATAGGTCACACATTGATTATGGAATGTATTTCATTGGATGAGCAGCTTTTTTCTCCCCTTAACTCTTGTGATTGGGTGGGCCTGGGCTCTAAGTGGGTGGGCCCGGGCCCACAGCGCCACATCCTGGCCGTAATAAGGATGTGATAATCTAACTGTACCATTTTCTTTTTATATCACAAAGATACTTGCTGTGTATAAAAGGCACATATCATGACTAAATTCATTTTTGCAACAACTCCACAACAGTTCATTACATGCATTATAAAACTACATACAT